GCCAGAACATAGAAATTTGAAAACAAAACTCTCGCCTACTTGGAATGAAGGATCGAAGGGCGTTGAGTACCTGAAGAAGACGGAATATCCAAGTGTGTCACCTGACCTGAACCCCTCGATTACGGGTTCCGGGAGGAGCTCAACAGGGTGGTCTACAGTGGCGGAGAAATCAACGACCTCGCTGAACTCAGGTACCCAATCACGGTCGCGCGGCAGAACTCTCGATGGACGTTCGTACAGAATGCTCTGGAGAAGTTTCGCGACCGCGTGCAATGTGTTGTCGAGTTTGTTGGTGGACATGTCCAATCAAAAGTTAGTGAAGTGTAACTTATATCGCCTTGGAAGTCTTCTTTTTTAAGTTAAGCTAGCAGGTAAGCTAATAAGAGCGCCAGCGTATTGAACTTCATGTGTAAGGAAAAACACGTAATACATAAATAACAGTATTGTTGCGATTTCGTACCTCCTTGTCAAGTTCTTACTTTCTGGCACATAGAGGTTGAAATGTGTGAACTTCACCGAGACGTGTTCATTTGGATAACCTGTAAAGTAATAGCTAAAGGATGAAGATTAGTTGAGCTCTCAAGCAATGCTTATTATACTCAATGGTCTTCCATATCGAATGCTGGTGAACACGGTATGGGCGCAGTTCGGTTACGGGGGAGGGTTATGTACTTTGCACTATCATTGCTTTCGTAGTTCCAGTTTACAAGTCTCACTCTGGTGAAACCTGTGAACTCTTGTGAAGCTGGAGCAAGGTCGTCAAGCCATCATGATAAACCTGTCAATCCGGGAAGAGGTTGTCTACTGAAATGGCGGTGTGCGTACGCCTCCCCACCCCCTGAAAAGGATCTTGGAACGACCCCTCCCCCTCGGCTCTGATTGTTTGCGCTGACGAGGACTAGATAGCAAAGGCTGGCGGCCACGTTATGATTCCATGGCAAATTAGCGGTGGAGCAGATCTGTTGGCCGGGTGGAAATCGCGGGGCTTTTTCTGGGGTGATAGCTTTTTTAGTTGTGAAGCTTTTGAGAAACGGAAGGCGGCATGTTGAAGCAATGTCCCTACTGTCTCTACTATTGGTTTTCTGCCTACTCACGATCTGAATCTTCCCCGTTTGTGAATTATTTCGGATACGTGTTAGTGATGAATCGCGAGCAGGTTTTTATGGTTCAGGTGAAGATAACTTCTTTCAATTGTGTAATCATTTGAAAAATAAAAAGCCATCAGAACGCTTTCCAACAAGCTCAACAGTTTTCCTGAAGACCCGCTAGTTTAGAAGATATTTAGATGGGTCACCCTTGGGCGACATTCTGAGCCACTCAAAAGCTCGACTCCTTCTGTGCCATTGTAAGGATACTCATTCGCGAATTTCAAAAAGCTTTCAGAACACTATTCCCGTTGACCGTTAAAATGTAATTTGGCTATCATCGATCGATGTGGTACGCGTGTGCGCCGTGCTTACATTTCTACGCAAAGTTGGTGGAAAGGTGTAACTTCTCATTTTAGTGATTTTTGTCCATGCAAGCAGATGTTTATTCACGGTTTGGAAAGGTCGATACGCACGAATCTGTTGAGATGTATTATTAGTCATCTACGTACTTACGAGTTCATGCTAACTATTGATATTGCTAATCAATTGTTTTAATATTTTGTAGTCTTCCTTACATTCGGGTCCTCTGCAGCTTTCCGTCCGCTCCATCAAACTTAGCGATAACACTTGTGTGCTCTTTGGTGCTCACACGATCCCCCCTTCCTCCCAAATACGACCCCCGATGGATTTCGCACAACGATGCTGTACCCTTTGTCTAGACAGGTCGAGACGTAGATGAGCGGTAGCGAAAAAGTAAAATGTTCCTCGAAATAGAGGAGCGGCTGATCCACCTCACATCTACACTATCTTCTAATATGATGCGTAGCAAGGACCACGACGATGTTGACAGTTTACAAAGAGGAAAGGGAATATTTATAATTAAGCCTGTGTTCGACCAACCTTGAAAAGCAATACGACACTTGCTGGGTAAGTTTGAGCCTTTCAAATTCAGGTTCGCTGACGATAATGATCCTGTCTTTTCCTTCTCTGATGTGACCGTCAGCAAGCACTCACCATTGGCTCCTGAATATCA